ACACCAGAAGTGACTTCAGTATGTTCTCAAGTCACTTCTGACATGATAAAAAAAATCTGCATCTGCTTTGAACTGGATTATATGAAGCTACACTGCCATATAATCCAGTTCAAAGCAGATAATCGGATTTTACTGTATATACTCGAGGATAAGTCTAGTTTTTCAGTCCTTTTTTTAGGCTGAAAAAGTCTCCCCTGGCTTATATTCGAGTCAATGTTATTTATTATTTTACGTTGTTGTTATTATTATGTTTATTATTTTATTATTGTTGTTATTACATTTATTGTTTTACGCTATTTATTATTGTTATTGTTACATTTATTATTTTACTCTATTTATTATTATTGGAGGACATGTAAGCATATTTACATTGAAGAAGGTTAGAATAATGGTTTAATCAGAGTTGGGCAGTCATATCTTGAATTACAGTTATGTGTAAATATTCAAAAACATTTAACCTAATGATGCCTAAATTATTATAATTTTATTGGTACCTATTTTTATTTTGAAATTGACCCATAGCTGCTGCATTTCCCACCTCGGCTTATATTCGAGTCAATCCATTTCCCAGTTTTTTTTGTGGCAAAATTAGGTACATCGGCTTATATTCGGGTCGGCTTATACTCGACTATATATGGTATATGGATTTTATACGTAGATGGGGCCCTAGATGGTCTCCATTCACCCCATTCAGGGGAAGAAAAGCAGGTCCTTTCCCTCCTCACCCCTTTATCCTATTCCCACTCTGCTTTTCTTGCTCTCTTCTAAATTAGGCTTGGAAAGAATCATCCTCACACTGCCAAATTGCTGGCCTAGAGGGACTGACACAGATAAGATTGGGTTATCCTTAAGGCAGCTAGATGGGTCCGTCCCCCCCTCACATTTCAGGTTGCACCATAGGGATGAAAGGGAGAGTAAGATTGTGGCCTTTATCTCCTCTTCCTTCTATCTCATTCTCTCCTCTTATCTCTCCTCCTCCCTCCTTTCTTCCAAATTGTACCTGTTGATGTCTTTCCACCTGCTGCTTGTAGAAAGGTGAAGTTCTTCTGCATTCACACAAGTATATAGATCAGGCATGGGCCAACTTTGGCCCTCCAGATGTTTTGGACTTCAAGTCCCACAATTCCTAACAGCCTCAGGCCCTTTCCTTTTCCCCCTCAGCCGCTTAAGCTGAAGTCCAAATCACCCGGAGGGCCAAAGTTGGCCCATGCCTGATCTATACCATACATCTTCCCTTTCCTCCAAGCAAACCCTGGGAAAAAAATGCTAATACATCAACTAAAAATTATGCAGTGCAATTACGTTGGTTCATGCTCCTTTGATAACAGTCCAGAAATAAATAAATCTATAAGCATGTGAAAGTATATTTAATTTGAGTTTCGTAGGTTAATTAAATTGGCTTAAGCGTATACATATAATCAGTAAGCAGTCTTTTAATTGCTAAGGCAGCCTTTCTTTCGGTATTTGGACACACAGAGAGATGGGCCGCTCCCGATTCAGGAGATAATTGCGTGTTTCCATTTGGATCACTTTGGGGAGGAATCCAGTGGTCTCCAAAGGGCAACAGAGAGAGCCGTAGGATGTAGAATTCTGCTGCAAACAGAGAGGTGACTGCCCCAGGCAACATATTTGTTTGTTATGAAAGGGAAGGCAATGCTTAGTCACACATGTTTCCCTTTACTTGGCAGGGATTCTGAGAAGTGCTTATGGGATTGTCTTGTTTACAGTTTTTGTGTGCTTTGCATGTTGTCTTGAGGTCTTGAGTGTGTTATTTACCTTAAGCCCACAGTGTCTTGAGTCAACTACCAAATGTCAAGATCAATTTTCCCCAAACCCCACCAGTGTTCACATTTGGGTATATTGAGTATCTGTGCCAAATTTGGTCCAGATCCATTATTGTTTGATTCCAAAGTGGCCGGCAACAATTTGATGCCTCCAATGTACACATAATAAAATACATAATGAAATCCAATAATTACCTACATTTAAAACATTAACTCGCATTAATTAATTAAAATTGGTTTCTGTTTCAATAACAGCCTGGTGGCCTTATCCGAGCCAAATTCTGTAGTTAGAGACTCCATTAAGCATGTCCATAGTCCATTTCCATAGTGATTGTAGTTGTAATGTATTTTAAAAAATAGTTGTAATGTATTTAAAAACACAAAGTTAAAAACTTGGCATTATACTAAAGGACATTATACTAAATGTCCTTTGACCAGCAGAGCACTGGTGTTGTCCTCTGTCCTCCATTGTTCATGTGGCAGGGCTCAGGTTGCATTGCAGCAGTTGGTCTGTGGTTTGCTCTTCTCCACACTTGCATTTCGTGGACTCTACTTTGTAGTCCCATTCTTAAAATTGGTTCTGCATCTCGTTCAGCACCTTCCAAATCACCCAAGTCTTCTGTAAGCCCAAGAATGAGTCTCTCATTTGGTATCAGCCATTGATTGAGGTTCTGGGTTTTAGCCTGCCCGTTTTGGACTCTCGCTTGCTGAGCTGCCCCTCGATTATTCAGATTTGCTAAAAAAAAAGAAAAGAAAAGAAAGAAACTGTCTTTTAAACCAAGAGTCCTCAAGCTTTTTAAACAGGGCTGGTTCACAGCCCCTCAGATGGTTAGGGGACTGTACTATTGTTTGAAAACAATGCAAACTAATTCCTATGCACACTGCATATACCTTATTTGTGGTGGGGGAGGATTAAAGAACAATACAATATATAAAAAGAAGAACAATTATAACCAAAATAAACTTACCAGTAATTCAATGGGAAGTGTGAGTCTGCTTTTGGCTGATGAGGGAGCCAATTTAATTAGGACTGTTGTTGTTGTGTGCCTTCAAGACATTTCAGATTTAGGGCGACCTTAGGTTTCAAGTTTAAGGCAAGGACCAGGTCGATGGCCTTTGAGGGCTGCGTCCGACCTGCGGGCCTTCGTTTAGGAACAGTAAAGAACATTGAATTCCTTGCTGTTACGGTCAAAGATTGTTGCAGGGAAGAGAAATAGAGCTTTGTTTGTACAGAAAACTAATATGCATGTTTTCTTGAAATTAAAACCTACTATGTTCACTAGGGCTAAGTTTCATGGAATCGTATGTAGGATATTAGTCTCAAATAACTGGCCAAACATTGCAATTCTATACTGTAGTTATTGAGCTGAGATTCCACATTTGTAGCAGAAAGGTTGCTGAAAAGATGCCTTACCCACTCTCTGCTTTGATAATGGTCTTGTGAGAATCAGAATCAGATATACTGTCCCTGAGGCAATGGCCTCATCTGCTTCTTTGTGTTGGAACCAAAAGGATGGGGGTAGGACTATGTGACAGGTTGTCATAAGCATTTTCGTTCATGCAAACAGTTAAATCAACAGTACTTAACCTCCAGGCAAGAAGCAGCCAGTATTTGAAGCTGCAAGGCCATTCATTGCTAATCAAGGTGGCCAGTTTCAACATTCGCATCTGCCTCAGTGGGTTAAAGCCCTCTGCCGGCAGGACTGAAGACCGACAGGTCTCAGGTTCGAATCCGGGGACAGGCGGATGAGCTCCCTCTACCAGCTCCAGCTCCTCATGTGGGGACATGAGAGAAGCCTCCCACAAGGATGATAAAAAGCATCAAAAAATCATCCGGGCGTCCCCTGGGCAACCTCCTTGCAGACAGCCAATTCTCTCACACCAGAAGTGACTTGCAGTTTCTCAAGTCGTTCCTGACACGACAAAAAAAATAACCTGCCTCAAACAGACATTACCCACACCTCCAATAGACCTCCACCCTTGTTCTCACAGCCCATACACATGTCTCGTAGTACGGTCAAACAGACAAGAGTTATTTCTCCCACTCTGGACATTCCACGGATATATAACCTCACTTGCCTAGTTTCTGACAGACTGCACAACTGGGTTATTGTGAGTTTTCTGTGCTGTATGGCCATGTTCCAGAAGCATTTTCTCCTGACATTTTGCCCACATCTATGTCAGGCATTCTCAGTGGTTGAGAGGTCTGTTGGAAACTAGGCAAGTGAGTGGAATGTCTGGGGTGGAAGAAAGAAGTCTGGTCTGCTAGAGGCAAATGTGAATGTTTCAAATGGCCACCTTGATTAGCTTTGAGTAGCCTTGCAGCTTCAAAGCTTTGCTGGTTCCTGACAAGCAATTAAAAGTTCTTTCTCCTACCCTGGCCATTCCACAGATATATAAACCTCACTTGGCTAGTTTCCAACAGACCCCTCAACTTCTGGGGATCCTTGGAAACACCAGGAGATAATGCTTCTGGAACATGGCCATAGAGCCCCGAAAACTCACAACAACCCAATGATCCTGCCCGTGAAAACCTTTGGCAAGACCGCACAACCTCTGAGGATGCCTGCCATAAATGTGGGTGAAATGTCAGGAGAGAATGTTTCTGGAACATGACTATACAGCCCAGAAAACTCACAGCAACCCAGATTAGTAATTCATAGATAATACTGGGGGTTGAAGTCCACCAACATCTTTGCCACAAGTTTAGGTGTGAACCATTTATGACATGTTGGGGAAGTATTTGCTTGTCCATCTAAGTTGTGATGCAAATGTATAGATGTAATACATGATAGGTATCTGAAGATTTCCAGATATCCTCAGCAATAATGAGATGTAGGGTAGCTAAGCAAATACCGGTATATGCTGTCCAAGATAACATGTTATCCAAAAGTAATTTCCTCATTAATATAAGGTCATTGATAAAACAGGCTAACCTCAGTAACAAATAACCTTTGTATATGGAATCAAGTGAAATGGTTTTATTATAGGAGATGGACTTTTAACTTAGAAGCGCTTTGCATTTTGCATTCTCTTGGGCCTCAGGTGTTAGAAGAATTATGCAAAACAGGTGACTTATTGCAGTCTGTGTTTTCAACACCATTATCATACCCAGGTCACAATCCTTATTTTTCTCATTTTGCTTCCTCGCTGGTTTGTTCATTGTGGCAATTTATTGCATTAGCAGATGTTTCAGTGTTGTTCTTTTTGAGTCAGGGACACTATATTAGTTGTCTGTGAAGTGCCTTTAAATAGTCACAATGGAGATCTCAAGCCTTCCTCTGTGAACTGAACTGGCCTGTGTCCAACTGGGGCATCTCTTTCCCAGTAGCTGAATGGGAAATAAGTGCTCCTTTGTGATGTTTGCTCTGAATCAGTAGCATCTTTCTGGATTCGGACCAGATGGCTGCCACAGGTCCTTAGAGCTCAGCAACGCAATCTCCTCCTTCTCACGCCTCTTACGAGAGACAAGGCGCAGCTCAGGAGGCTGGGCTTTCAATGTGGCCTGATGCTGATGTAACAAGCCAAAAAAAAAAAAAGCATCAGGAAAATGTGATTCACTGCTTCGCAGCATCCAAGGTTGCATATTTCATCCTCCTCTTGTGATAAGAATGGACACTAAAGCCAAGTGAACAGGCGTTTGCTTCCTCTTGAGGTAAAATAAAATAATTGCATTTCTTCTTGTGGAACCCTATTGCTTCATGTGGCTTTTCTTGATCTGATAAAAGTAAGCTTTCTGAATACGTCGTGGAATGCACCGTGTCTTGGAAAATTAGCTAGCTATTTGACATCAGCCGGTTTGTAAATGCAGAACAGTTATCTGAGAGCTGCATGCCTGTGTAATACTCTGATGCCTCTTCTGTTACTGAAGAAAAGAATGTTTTGTTCTCCAATCTGCTACTTTAATGTTTTTTTTTGTCATCTGCATTTTTAAGAAGCATCCTTCAAAATAGGCATTTGAGTGTTAGAAGTTTGAAAGATGTGCCATGTAAGGATGGCCTCAGAAAGGGATTGGTGTGCTTTGGCCAGAGAGAGAACCGGCATTTCTCAATCTGGGGGTCATGAGGGGGTGTTAGAAGGGTTGTCAAAAACCATCAGAAAACACAATATTTTCTGTTGGTCAGCGGGGATCTGTGTGGGAGGTTTGGCCCAATTCTATCATTGGAGGTGTTCACAATGATCTTTGATTGCATGTGAACTATAAATCCCAGCAATACAACTCCCAAATGTCAAGATCTATTTTCACCAAACTCCACCAATGTTGACATTTGGGCATATTGAGTATTTGTGTCCAATTTGGTCGAGTCCACAGTGCTCTCTGGATGTAGGTGAACTACAACTCCCAAACTCAGGATCAATGCCCACCAAACCCTTCTATTGTGTTCTGTTGGGAGTTTTGTGTGGGAAGTTTGGTTCAATTCCCTGGTTGGTGGAGTTCAGAATGCTCTTTGGTTGTAGGTGAACTATAAATCCCAGCAACTACAACTCCCAAATGTCAAGGTGTGTTTCCCCCAAACTCCACCAGTGTTCACATTTGGGCATATTGAGTATCCATGCCAAGTTTGGTCCAGATCCATCATTGTTTGAGTCCACAGTGCTCTCTGGACTTAGGTGAACTACAACTCCAAAACTCAAGGTCAATGCCCACCAAACCCTTCCAGTATTTTCTGCTGGTAATGAGAATTCTGTGTGCCAAGTCTGGTTCAGTTCCATTATTGGTGGAGTTCAGAATGCTTTTTGATTGTAGGTGAACTATAAATCCCAGGAACTACAACTCCCAAATGACAAAATCATCCCCTGCCAACCCCACCAGTATTCAAATTTGGGCATATCAGGTATTTGTGCCAAATTTGTTCCAGTGAATGAGAATACATCCTGCATATCAGATTAAGATTCATAACAGGAGCAAAATTACAGTTGTGAAGTAGCAACAAAAATAATTTTATGGTTGGGGGTCCCTACAACATGAGGAGCTGTATTAAGGGGTCGAGACACTAGGAAGGTTGCAAAACACTGGAGTAAATGTTCTGAGTCGATAGATGGATTTTATATTTTCCAAAACAAAAGGTTAAGCTTTTTCCTTTTTTGTCCCCATTCTCCTCTGTTTCATGTCAGGACTTCATAACTTTGACATTACATCATGATTTAGTTTCCTTCCTTTTTTTTTCTCTCCCATTGTTGTTAGGGGTTATTCCAGGTGAAAGCTAAAAATGCCACCTCCCCTGTTACAGCCTCATTTGGATGTTTGCAGATCCCTCCTCCTCTGTTCCATCTGAGGACACTCTGTAGACCAGTGTTTCTCAACCTTCCTAATGAGGCGAGCCCTTAATACAGTTCTTCATGTTGTGGCGACCCCCAACTATAACATTATTTTTGTTGCTACTTCATAACGAATTTGGCTACTATTATGAATCGTCATGTGAATATCTGATTAGGCAGGATGTATTTTCATTCACTGATTTTGTCATTTGAGAGTTGTATTTGCTGGGATTTATAGTTCACCTACAATCAAAGAGCGTTCCAAACTCCACAAACTATGGAATTGTACCAACTTGGCACACAGAACTCCCATGACCAACAGAAAATACTGGAAGAGATTGGTGGGTTTTGGAGTTTTGGAGTAGTAGTTCACCAACATCCATAGAGCATTGGAGGGGTTGATATTGTCATTTGAGAGTTGTAGTTGCTGGGATTTATAGTTCACCTACAATCAAAGAGCATTCTGAACTCCCAGCAACAATGGAATTGAACCAAACTTGGCATACAGAACTGGTATAGACCATGACTTCACATCAGGTCAGGCTTTCCCCTGCTTTCTCTTCTCCCTACATCTTGCCTGATAAAGATATCTGAAGATTTTGGACATGGTTTTATGCCCTTTTGTTTTCTGAAATAAAGATATTACACTAATATAAATTTTGGATATGTTTTTCTCGTGATCAACAGGATTATGTTTAGTTACATATTAGTTTTGCACACACAAAAAATCTTCATGCCATGTATTTTAGGGAGCAATAGAGACATTACTGTTTTATTGTCATTCATACAATAGGGCCTTTCTTTTTTGTGTTTTAATTACTAAATTGAGCCTTCAGCATTAAATTAGCAAATAGTTGCGCCTGGTTAAAGCTTTTTGTGCATGCATTTGTTTGGATAGCAGCAACAAATAAACAACTGTTGTTGCTATTTAGAAATTTCCAAAGAATATTTTCACTGAAATCAGTAACTTTTACAAAATGATCTGTTAATCTAGAACAGGGGTCCTCAAACCTTTTAAACAGAGGGTTAGGTCACTGTTGGAGGGCCGTATTATAATTTAAAAAAAACATGAATGAATTCCTATGCACACTGCACATATCTTATTTGTAGTGCAAAAAACACTTCAAAACAATACAATAATTAAAAAGAAGAACAATTTTAAACTTATTAGTATTTCAATGGGAATTGTGGGCCTGCTTTTGGCTGATGAGATAGGATTGTTGTTGTTATTGTGTGCTTTCAAGTCATTTCAGACTTAGGTTGACCCTGAGCGAGGGCCGGGTAAATGACCTTGGAGGGCCGTATTTGGCCCCCAGGCCTTAGTTTGAGGATCCCTGGATTATAGAGACAGGTCAAATAAAACATCAGAAGCTGCTCAATGCAAGACAAGATGATCCCTGTTATTATAGAATACCAATATAAGTAAACCGGCTAATAATTTAGTCCTGTGCATGTTTGCTCCCAGTTATCTTCAGTAGGAGATATTCTAAGGTATGTCTGTCTAGGAATACAGACTAAATTTGGGAAATATGCTCATAAATTGATGAATAAATTGATGAAATATGCTCATAAATTGATGAATAAAATATTACTATTTTCGATTGATTTTAGTGGGCTATTATACAGTAATGTCATATAAAATAGCTACTGGAAGTCTGAGGGCAACAAATACTCCTTTTCCAGGAAAACCTTCATAACATAATTTTTTTTTTATTTGAAGTATTTATCTAAGTTTTCCTAGAGCAGTGTTAGTCAACCTTCCTAATGTTGCGATCCGTTAATATAGTTCCTCATGTTATGGTGACCCCTAACCATAACATTATTTTTGTTGTTTTGTGTTTCCAGCTTTCATGGCTGGAATCACTGGGTTGTTGTAGGTTTTTGGGCTATATGGCCATGTTCTAGAAGCATTCTCTCCTGACGTTTCACCTGCATTTATGGCAAGCATCCTCAGAGGTAGTGAGGTCTGTTGGAACTCTGAACTATTTTTGTTGTTACTTTACAACTGTAATTTTGCTACTGTTATGAATCATGGTGTAAATTTCTGAGATTCAGGATGTGCTTTCATTCACTGAATTAAATTTGGCAAAAATACCCAATATGCCCAAATTTGAATATTGCTGGGGTTGGAGGTAATTGATTTTGTCATTTGGGAGTTTTAGTTGCTGGGATTTATAGTTCACCTACAATCAAAGAACATTCTGAACTCCAGTAATGATGGTATTGAACCAAACTTGGCACACAGAACTACTGGAAGGATTTGGTGGGCATTGACCTTGAGTTTTGGAATTGTAGTTCACCTACCTTCTGAGAGCACTGTGGACTCATACAGTGATAGATCTGGACCAAACTTGGCACGAATACTCAATGTGCCAAATTGTGAACACTGGAGCAGTTTGGGGAAAATAGATCTTGACATTTTAGAGTTGTAGTTGCTGAGATTTGTAGTTCACCTACAAAGAGCTCCTTGAACCCTACCAGTGCTGAGCATGCCTGCTCTACCCTCCTTGCTTGGAGTCTCAGACACAGCCCTCCCCTTGGCTGAGAAGCTGGCCAGTCACAGCAGGAGGAGGGCTTTTGATGGGAGGATTTGCCATCTGTTTTCAAAAAGGAAGAGAAGGATTCATGGTCCCCAGGTTGGGAAATGGTCCCCAGGTTGAGAAATGCTGCCCTAGAATATTTGGTTTTGTTTGTTGAGTCTTCAGATTTTGTTTCGTTCCATTTTCCTATGTCAGTTACTCTGCATTTGCAAATGCTTGTTCAAAAAACCACGTCTTGACTTTTTTCCGGAATGTTAAAAGGGAGGTGGCCAATCTAATATCTATAGGGAGGGCGTTCCACAGCTGAGGGGCCACCACCAAGAAGGCCCTGTCTCTCGTCTCCGCCAAACGTACTTGTGACAAAGGCGGTAACAAGAGCCTAGATGGTTCATAAGAGGAGATGCATTCGGATATGTAAGTTGGGCCAGAACTGTTTATATACACACATACATACACACATGAAGCACATATATACACACTGGGCCACAGCAACACGTCGTAGGAAACGGCTAGTCCTATATGCTTAGGCGGGAATCAGATTTGTTGAGCCCAAGTGGACTTTCAGTATCAGTTCTGGTTTCTCTCTCACGTTACTACACTATGATAAAAAGGAGATATATGTAAATGGAGACTCCCTATCTTCCTTCAAGTGTCCAGTTAACTTATGGGCAGCCTCATAAATTTAATAGGGTTTTATCCAAGCACTAACTGGAGATAACCCTGCATAGTTTCCAAGACCAAACAGGATTGGATGCCTTTGGGTATTTAGGTATAGGGTTCATATGCTTATCTTGTTTTACTGGAAAGGAGAGAAAACTTCTTTGAAACCTTTCACAGAGCAGCAATTTTAAGATTT